TTTAAAGCGATTGGTTTTGATATGGGGCTTTACGACCTATTTCTGGTGTAGTCATTAGCAAATTACTTACCTTCTCTTTGTGTTCATGTCTAGAGAATGGGAAGAATGAGAATACCTACCTCATGAAATTTTGGGGAAGACTAAGAAAATATATATAAAGCACTTACAACAGTGCCAAGACGTAGCATAAGATACAAATAATAAAAATAATAAAATAAAATAAAATGCAAAATAAAATAAAATTTTAAAAAGGATACAAATAAATTCTACCTGCTGTTTTAAGATTGAACAACCAGAGGTAACGTTTCAGCTGATTCCTTGTCTTAGAGCACAGGTACGGTAATTGTCATCTTCTTGCACATCACGGTTGAATCTCTGAGACGAAACTCTTATTTGTGAGGTTTTTCTTTTTTAAATCAGCAAATCTTTTAAATCATATAAATATGAATATAAATTATATACTAATGTCCTGTATTTATACACTAACGTTAAATTTTAAAATGCTATTTGAAACAAGATCTTTTAATCTTTTAATTTTAAAAAATTTAAACTAAAACCGAGACATAAAAATTTACACCTACTCTGCTCCTTTAGCAACTTCTCCCTAGACTGTGTGATTTTACTCTCTTCCTTCCCCTTCAGAAGATGAAAAGAAAAAACAAAAACTTCCCTAGCTCAGGACTTCGAGATTCAGACAGCTTTAGTCCCATATAGCTCTGGTCTTTTGAAGCTTTTAGGGGCCTTGCAATTAAGCTGAACTTCAGGAATTTCTTTGTATTTGCCTCTAGTATGTGTCTATTTCTGACTATTCCCTCTATTAGAAATCTGAAAGCATTTCTTCAGCCCTTCAAACGTCAGGCCTCTAACAGCTTTTTCCAGCATCTTAGTTAACACCCTAATGAGTGAGAGCACAGTTTGGTTGACCAGATGGACTGGAGCGGAGAGCACCGCCCTTGCTAAGGGATTGTCCTGAAAGCCCTAGTAATGCTACTTTTCCATATAACTGGCCTTGATTTAAGCCTTCCTGAATGTTCCTGCTGACCTCCTTACTCTTCCTCCTGCCTTTCTAGGTGACCATCAGGCCAGACCTTTCTTAGCCTCACTTTTCCCCCCTAATGGCGGCCAGCTTTTAGCCCCTTCTTATGCTAGAGAGTTTAAATTGAAATGAAGCAGGTCTTATTTCTTCCACTTCTGCAATTTGGGTACAATTTTGTCAGCAACTTTACAACCTACTCTCTCTGTATTTTAAGGTGAACTCTTTTACAGTGTTAAACCTTTTATACCTAACTAGGATAAGCAAGATAACATTTTTTAAGCTGTGAAAATTGCCCCTCAAAGGGTACAAATTTTATTTTGGGGTTCATCCTTTTTCTTTTATTTAATAAAGTCCTTCATTGGCTCCTTTCCAGTCTTGAGGCATTCTTCCAACCATTTGCATATTGCCCCAGAGGATTTCTAGTGATATTAAAGTAACTTTACCTAATATCGTCAGTAGCTTAATATTTAATGAGCACCTGCTGCATGCAAAGTATACCACCAAGAGCTCTGAGGGGTTCAACAAAATATAAACCTCACAAAATCATGCTTGAAAATCTGCTTTTGCCCAAACTGTTATTAACGTAAAATCCTAGGGCTTTGTTGCCTTTGTGAATCTAATTTAATGACATTCAGGAAAATAGTATTATAGTGGTAAGTAGGTTAATAATAACCACATAGTTTATGTGACCCTATACCACAGGAGAGAATGGAAAATAATATATTTGGAAAACACTATAAAGCACCAAGACAGGTGAAGATAAATTAAGACTCTTTAGGCTGTTTAAATAAAAAATAAATCTGTGTTGCTCTATCCTTGTGGCCGTGTCTCTCGTCTGTCCTCCAGGAATCTTAGGTAGTCTAGTTCTAGAGATGGGGCATGAACACAAACAACTGATGAAAGGCAGGGAGGGAAATCCCTGACTTATGTGAGTCTATGACATATAAATCACCCTCCACAAAGAGTGACTGCATGAGCTTATATTCTTTCCCCTCTTTGGACCATTTAGAATGCTAATGTTGTGCTGTGTCACATAAAGAATGGGTAATGAGCAAATAGCCATATTCTTTACCTTTCTCTACATCTTTTATTAATTGTCCGTGCTTTCCCAAACCATGAGAGTAAGATCAAAAGAAAATTACAAGTTTTCTCTTAATGCATTGAAATAATAAGTTAGTAATTATTGTCTTGGTCAGCTCAGGCAGCCATATTTTACCATAAATTTACGGAGCTTATAAGCAACAGAAATTTATTTCCCACAGTTGTAGAGGCTGGAGGTCCAAAACTAAGGTGCCCACACGGTCAGGTTCAGTGTCTAGTGAGCGTCTGCTTCCTGGTTCACAGATGGCCACTGTCTTGCTGTATCTCACGTGGAGGGAGAAGAAGCAGGCTTCCTCAGGGCTCCTATAAGGACACTAATTCCATTCGTGATGGCTCCACCCTCATGACCTCATCTAATTCTAATTACCTTCCAAAGATCCCACCTCCTAATCCCATCATAGAGGATAGAGTTTCAACATTTGAATTTTAGAGGAACAGAAACGTCAGATCATAACAATTATGCACTTCTGATTGCGTACAAATCAATGAGAATAGCAATGATGCTTCACTTTGACCTTCTAATCAGTGATCACACACCTTTGCCAAATTGCTCCTTCAAAGCAATATAATATACACCACCAGGCTTACCCAGCCCAGAAATCAGCTCATTATAGTCACTGCTGATAGAATATTTCAGAAGCAGTCTTTAACTCCTGCCTTGACCACCAACTAAACTGTATCACGATTTGCAAATAAGGATGTTTGTTTACCTATTAGTGTTTCTTTCATCCCCTTCTCAATTTTCCCCTTTTGCATCCAGGTCACTGAAAATTTACAGGAGTTTATATTAATCTCACCATAATTCTCCTTTCGTACACTCTGCTGTGGCCTCGATGTCTTTTACATAGTTTGTTGTTAATGAATATCACGCAGTGTAAGCCCCCTAATTCCCTCTGTTCTTTGCACACCCATCCCCACCTCTGTCACAGTTGCCCTCCCTGCAAAAGTCCCACAACGTGCCCCCTTACCACAACATGCACTTGCCTTCCCCTCCTCTCCCGTTCTCCTTGCTGCTTCTGGTTCTGTTTCTCCCTGCATGCACATAGATGCCCAGTCTCTCCTCTCCAGTCCATCCTTTATGTTGACACCGAATGTCTTGTTATAAAACGAATTTGCCCAATAATACAAAATCCAAACAGTTTAGCTTGGCATAAAGCTGCCTTCCTCACCTGGTTCCATAAAACTCTCACCAGCCCACCTCCCCCATCTTGACCTGTATCCCCCAGTATATCCTGTACTCCACCCATACTCAGTCCTTACTACTTCCTGATAATACTCCCTAATGGTCCCCCTGCCCCCTCCCCCTGTCTTTATCTTAGGCAAAGTTGAATTCAAATGTCTGGTATCCAGTGAAGTCTTTCCAGGTTTGCCCTGAGTTCCCTGCCTTCTCCTCTGTTCTCTCTTGCCCTTGGTTTATAATTCTTTCAAGCTTTTATTATTGTGTATTATAACCATCTGTTTATGCATTTACTCCATGGACAAGATTGTAATTTATAATCTGGTTCTATATTCATGAAATAAAACCATGTCTTGTTCATTTTTTTCTTTCTTCATACTTGTCGCAGTGCCCCATACTCAAACTTTATTATGTTTGATTTTTCTTATGTCACATTTATCATCATCAGAATGGATATCAAATTCTCACAGAGCATTACTAAGATAAACACCCACTTATGCTATCACAGACAAATGTTGGTTTTAGCAGGAGAACCCATAAAAAGAGAGCTTTTGTGTATGCTTTTCTTTGAAAGTTAATAATTTGATTTATATGAAGACATCAGTGTTTGGTGGTTTTTGTTTTGTTTTTTTAATTTTTCTGTGAATCCCTAGAGAAGACCACCTGAATTTCAGGTACTACGTTATCAGTGTTGATCATGTTACACAAATAAATTGTCCTTATGCCTTTCACAACAGAATTTAAAGTTAATTTAACCCTCATCTTGATATTTGAAAAGATTGTTGTTCGTTTTTTTAATCATTGTATAGATGGTATACATAAAAACGACCGTGTTTTTTATTTTCATTTTCTCCCAGTTGCTTCAAAAAAACAGACAACAAAACAATACTTCTAGGGTCATAAAAGCAGTTTATTTCTATATCAGATTTATTCCAAAGAAGAATAAGCCTCATGTTAGACATTGTGCATCAAACACAAGTTTGCCTTGAATCAAGTTGTTTATGCCATCTCTATATACAAGTAACACAGGTTATCTTTGCATCCAATTTATTAAGAACCATTACCATTCAGGTGCCATGTGTTACATATTTAAGACTTATTATCACATTGTATATCATCTCTTCATTGTGTTTAGTGATAGATTCAAAAGTAATTAATTTTGCCAAATTATGAAATAAAACTGTTAATGTTTTTATAAAAATCATGTAGTATAATTGCCATTGTGATCAAAAAGAAAAGTAGAAGATATTACATGATTTTTAACCAATGCTGGCAACAACTTTTTTTTTAATTTGGGTATTAATAATATTCAGAAAAGGTTGATGAGTGGCATAGACTTGTAGATATAGCTTTACATATTTGTTTAATAATGATATTGTGAACTACTGTTGATCCTAACCCATTTCTCTTAACCAATTCTGGCAAGATAAGATTGAAAGTCTTATAAACATAAATTATCAAATAAAATGTTCAAGAAAAATATTTGTCTTCTTTTTCTTTCTCCTCTCTTCCTTCCCTTCCTGTTATGTAAAAAAAAAAAATCAAATGAAGAATAGGATTAGGTAATAAAATATTGAATTTAAGTAAAGAAAGTGTTTAATTCAGTTCATAGTTAACAAGTTATAATAGTTTTTTTTCAACTCATTTTTAAAGTGGTTTAATATGCCATGTTTTTATTCCTGGCAGGAACTAATTCCAGAGTTCTATTACCTACCGGAGATGTTTGTCAACAGTAATGGATACAATCTCGGAGTCAGAGAAGATGAAGTTGTAGTAAATGATGTTGGTCTTCCCCCTTGGGCAAAAAAACCTGAAGACTTTGTACGGATCAACAGGATGGTAAAAGAGATTTTGTTTTTGCTTGAGCAGTCATCAAGAAGTAAAAACATTCTGTTGTTTTCTTTTGTTTCTATCTATTAACAAATTGCCATTTAACATCTATAAATACAAGGTTAAAATTTTAAGAAAAAAGAAGGCAAGCATTTTACTATTGTCTTTTGACATTGTCCTTTATTGTGGAATGGATTTTCCTTTCATTGAAGACTAATAAAGGAATGGTAATTCAGTTATATTTGCTCCCTTAGGAGAAGACAATCAGATGAACATCTGTTGACTAATATAAGATATTCCAAAATGCTTGAAATAAATGTCCATTTCTTATTTTTGTTTACCAGCTAAATCTGTACTCCTTTTTCACTCATAAAATATTCAAAACAAAAATAATTTACGTTTAGAACATATTTGCATGCAGGAAACCATAAGCTGTGAAACATACCTTAAAATATAATATACTTGTGGGGCGCCTAGGTGACCCCGTGGGTTAAGGATCTGATTCTTGATTTCTGCTCAGGTCATGGTCTCAGGGTCCTGAGATTGAACCCCTTTGGGGCTCTTTGCTGGGCATGGAGCCTGCTTAAGATTCTCTCTCTCCCTCTCCCTCTGCCCCGCAACCCCCCACTCACGTGCATTTACATGCACACACATGTGTGTGTTCTCGCTCTCTCTCTCTCTCTCAAAAAAAAAAAAAATATATATATATATAATATTTGTCTTTAAGAGAACACCCATCTAGTAAACATTCTTAGATTGAAAAATGTCATTACTTTTTAAATCTGTGTGACAGATATCTGGCAGATATCTGGGTGTTCAAATAAAAAAACATGTAAATAGAATGTTTGCATGTGGGAATTTTATAGATTTTGATATATTTTATCCATATTTAAGGAGATTTTAATCTTAGTGTGGTTATGGTATATGGAAATGAACCACTTACCAAACAGCCTCCCTAGTATACCATTATTCTTAGTAAATTGAGGAATTAAGAAAGTCAATGACTCAAAATATTTTTTTAATTCTGTTTCACTCACTCCCAATTTTTTCCAACTGTCTTGTAAATATATTTTATTTTGTTTTGACACCCAATTTATTTGAATCAGAATCCAAATAAAATCCACATTTACAATGGAGTTCACATATTCCTTAGCCCATTTTTTTGTGAAAATTCACATATGTCACACAGATATAATTCATATACCATACAGTTCACCCATGTAAAGTAAAAAAAAATGGATTTTAATTTATTCACAGAGTTGTACAATTATGAATATTTTTATCACCCCGTAAAGAAACCCAGTACCTTCAGCATCTTCCACCATTTTCCCCAGCCAGCCCTAGGCAACTACTTACCTTTGCTGTCTCTATATATTTTCTTATTCTAGACATTTCACATAAATATGATCATATAATATGTGATTCCTCCCTCTACCCCCTGATTTTGTGTGTGTGTGTCTGTCTGTCTGTCTCTCTCCTTTTATCTTTTCTTTTTTTTTGGACATTACTGTTAGTCTCATGCTCCCCTCAACTTTGGAACTATATTTTCTGTCTCTCAGAAATATTTGACTTTTAATATATTTTATTTTAAAGCTGTTGCTGATATGGTAGGTCTGTGTTTAAACGTACTATATATATATAATCTGCAATCTGGTCTCCCCCTTTTGAGGGAATATCATGTATTGCATAACTTGTAGGTATGATTTCTCTCACTTTTCAATCTATAAATTGGTACTTCCAGATATATGGAGTTATATCATACTATCTCTTTGAATAACATATTTCAATTTATATTTTTAATGTGAGGAATTTACACTTCAGTAATATATTATACTTTAAAATCTGTACTTATTTTTAGAATTAATCATCTATTTCCATACTACCCTTACATATTTGAGTGCTGGCTATAATATCAGTGTAAGGATACCAAATCTACAAATTCAACCCTAGAAACCTGCCACATATCAGTATATTTGTACAGCCCAGAACTGTGCCTCACACAAAGTAGTTGGCAGTAAATGTCTGCTGAGTGAATGAATGAATCACCCAGGGGTAATAACCTCAATGATTTTAATACGTTGTCTAGTTATGTCCAAACTAGTTAAACTGACCCTGAAACTAATAAAAAATAAATAAATAAACTGAATGAATCCTTCACTCAGGCAAACAAAGTAGCCAAAAACTGTTGGACCAGATTTTTCACTTGTTTATACTATTGCACCCAACTGATTAAACAGAAGTTTTCATGTGGGTGCTAATAATAAATATGTACTGGAAAGAGTGTGACTTAGAGTTTAATAATTTCCTGCTCTTGAACCTGGGCTCTGCCATTTACTAACTTCATTGCCTTGAGTAAGTTGTGGAGCATCTCTGGTCCTCACATTTCTCATCTGTAAAATGTGGATAGATACCTTATAAATGTTTTTTTAAATCATTATCATACAATTCATTTGTCTTCAGGGTACAATTTAATGATTTTTAGTAAATTTACAGAGTTGTGTGACCATCACCACAGTCTAATTTTAGAAAATTTCCATCATCCCAGAAAGATCATATGCCCATTTGCAGTCCCTCCCCATGCCTACCCGCAGCCCCAGGCAACAACTAATCAGCTTTTTATCTCCAGAGGTTTGCCTTTTCTGGACATTTTATAGAACTAGAACTGTATGATATTTGTTCTTTTGTGTTTGACTTCTTGCACTTAGCAGCTTTTGAGATTAATCTCAAAAGTACTTTGCGTATATCCGTACTTCGCTTTTTTTTGTAATTGTATTCCATGTATGGATAGGCCATGTTTTGGTGACCCATTCATCAGTTGTTGAACATTTGGGTTTCCACTTTTTGGCTGTTAGAAATAATGCTACTATGAACATTCACATACCAGTCTCCATGTGGACATAGGTTTTCATTGCTTTGAGGTATATACGTACGGTAGAATTGTCGAGTCATGGTAAATTTATGTTTAACTTTCTAAGAAATTACCTATTTTGCTAAGTGATTGTAGCATCTTACATTCCTACTAACGGTGACTCAGTTCCTTCTTATTTTCACCAACACTTGTCATTGCCTGGTTGTTTTTTTTATTATTATTATAACCATTCTAGTGGATATGAAGTAAAATCTCATAGTTTAATTTCCATTTTTCTAGTGACTAATGATGTTGTGTGCCTCTTTGTGTGCTTTTTAGATGCTAGAACATTTTTACATATATTTTAATAAAACATTAAGTAGTGATTCATGATAGATACAACCTTTGTGTTCCTTATTAGTGAAAGAAGTTCATATGCCCCCAGAATTAATAATTTTATTAATGATATGCCTACTTGAAAAAGAAAAGGTAGTTGTGTTTCTAAAAGCAAATCCCCAAGACAGCATCACACACAGAATTTCTTGAATATAGGGAAAGATAATTATTATGGATATGAAACCATCAGGTCATTGGTACTCATATAAACTGAATAAGCAAGACCATACACACTTGACTAAATTTGCAGAAAAATCACAAGGTTTCATTCATCTAATATGGGCAGTAATATAATCCAACCAAATACACTTTCCAGATAAAGGCAGTTTCTAGATTTTTATAGCTAAGTGAAAACTTTTTTGGAGGTTTGTTATTTTTCTCAACTTTATCACTACTTGGTTCCCTATCCTTTTATGCAAAAGAGGAAACCTTCTCTTTATTATCATAAGTACCTGTTATTATTCTATGAAGGCTATAATTCTATATCTGTTCTTTTTCTCTTTTCTTCTTGAAATTGTCAGCTATCAGCACACTTCCCTTTATAGCCATTCTGATTAGAATGTGTTGCTTAAAATCTCTTCTAGTTAATCAAATGTATCAAAGCCTTATGATAAATAGGAGTCAGTCATGTGCTAATTGGGGCCCTGAAGAAAATGGAAACTTTGTAGCTTTGGTGGAGTGACATCTGCTTCAGGTTTCACTGGTCAGTATCTGATCACTTCCAGTTTAGGAGTGAAGTTCTGAAACATTGAAACATGAAGTGATAAATTCTACCCTTAGTAAGTGGAATGTTACTATAGAGCATACCAAGTTCATACCTCTGCTTACAGCTATATACTTTCCTAGTGCGTTCTCCTTACTTCCCTGGGATAGCTGCTCACATTTGTTTTCTCTACTGTCCTCATTCCAATACTTACTGCTCATAACTGCTGCAAATCAGGATGTATATACCCTAATCTTAGTCAACTCACTCCATACCCCAGTGATGGTCCTGAATTGACCAAGGCACAATAATGGCAGTGATAGTCCATTCCCTATAAGCTGTGATGTTTTTGAGTGTTTATTCTTTGTCTCAGATACTAGGCTAGAGCTTCAGGCACATTATTTTTAATCCTCAAAAAAGTCTTCTGGGAATTATCCTGAAACCCAGCGAGGTCAATCATCTTGCCAGATAGCACCTACTTATCAAAGTGGCAGTGTTCTTACCCACAGTATCCAGGATAAAATGGTGACTTAAGGAGCTGTGGGAAGGGAGAAGGGAAAGGAGAAGGAAAGGAAACATGTTTTTAACAAGAAGCCAGTACCTTGGGGTCAGCAGAAGAAAAGAAAGAAACAAGTGGGAATTGCCCCAAAACCAGCAGAATGTTCCAGCCCCAATGGCCATGCAGACCTGACTTTCTGAGATCCCATTTCTACCTCTTTCTCCCCCAGCCTACCCTGTAAGGCTCCCTCCCCAGCTGGTAAGACCTCTGCTTAGAGCTAAGGAGGTCTTAGGTCCCACTGCCCAGCAGTTGTGAGAGGAAAGCTATCCTTTAACTCTGCAGATGGAGGAAAGGCAAACTTAGAGGCACCCACAGGATTTTACAGCTTACACAGACCTTTATTTGAGAAAGGAGACTGAGACCCAAAAAGGCCAAATGGTTCACCCAAGGTCTTAACCCAAGTGCTTTTTCTAACTTACCATGCCTGGCATTGCAAATTGGAACTCTGAATGTAATATCCCCTAGACCCACTGAAAGTCTCTAAAACTTTACCTGTATTTTGA